TGTTGAGAAGATTATCATGTTGTTCAAAATAAATAAGTAAAGTACAAAATGCCCGAGAATCTTTTCCAGAAATTGTCAGGTCACACATTTGCAACTATCACTGGATATGTGGGTTGGGTATTTTAGCTGTGTAGAGTGGTTATAATGTTATTGTTTATTTCAATCTTTTTATAGTACAGCATAAGAGATGCTGAAGTCCTTTTGGCACTTAGAAAATTACAGTGAAACATATTTTGCTGTAGTCAGAAAAAAGATTTGTTGACTTTAAAGAATACTGATCTTCTAACATATAAAAATGTATCGATTTATTATAAGAAATATTTTGAGAATTCTAAATCAGAATTTGCTTCTGAATCTTTCACAATATTACCTTTACTTTCTCTTGTGCATCTTTCAAAGATGAGGGTCAGATGTATTGACCCCAGAATCCTATTGACTGTTTGAACTTGTTTGTTTGTTTGTTTATTTGAGAGAGCAAGTGTGTGCATGTGTGTGCACCGGGGTGGGGCGGGTCAGAGGGAGAGCGAAAGAGAGAATCCTAAGCAGGCTCCACGCCCAGGGTGGAGCCTGATGCAGTGCTCAGTCTCATGACCCTGAGATAATGATCTGAGCCAAAATCAAGAGTCAGATGCTTAACCAACTGAGTCACCCAGGTGCCCCTTGTATCATTAATTTTAGAAGAAAAGAAAAGTTTTCTAGATTTCGGGGTGGGGGGAGCAATTTGTGGCCAAATAATTTGGAAAACACTACCTTGTGTATCTACTTTAGTAAAATTGGAGTGAGTGTTAGTCTGTTTTTGACCCTGAGAAGTTCTCTAGTAAAGAAACCTGTTTAGCCTTGTTAAACCTAGCATTTCCCAAATTTATTTAATCTCAACACCTTGCACAGTATACAAAAGTTTGTAGCAGCATTATTCTTAATGGTTAAAATGTGGAAGCAACCCAAATGTCCATCAGCTGATGGAAAACAAAACGTATCCATTTAAAAAAATTGTAAGTAATCTCTGCCCAACATGGGGCTTAAATTCACGACCCTGAGATCAAGTTGCATTCTCTACCAACTGAGCCAGCCAGGCGCCCCAAAATGTATCAATTTTTATATATACCCATTTAATATACCTGCTCAGTGGAGTATTATTTGGCCATAACAAGGAATGAAGAACTGATACACACTACAACATATAGGTGAATCTTGAGAACACTATGCTAAGTGAAAGAAGCCAGAGACAGGAGACCACATGTCATATGATTCCATTTGTATGATGTGTCCCTAATAGGCTAATTCCTAGAAACAGGAAGTAGTTTAGTGGTTACTATGCACTAGCGGTGGGGAAGTGGAGGATGACTGCTAATGGACTCCAGTTTCTTTTTGCAATGGTGAAAATGATCTGCAATTAGGTAGTCGTGATGGTAGCTCAACTCTGTGAATATACTAAAAGCCACTGAATTGTATACTTTAAAAGGGTGAATTTTATCATACGTGAATTATATGTCAATAAAGCTGTTATTTTAAAAATAACCATAAGAAAGAAGCTATAGCAACAACTAAGGCAAGAAGTCATGAGGGCTTAAAATAAGGTAGTGGGATGGAGAGGTACGAGAGCCTGGAGGTGTGAACTGGGGAGTCCTGAAGACTGATTTTTACCAGCAAGGATGCAGAGTCCCCAGGCTGAAACCTCGAGGAGAGGGTCTGATGGGCCCCATGGTGCACAGGTCTGCATGAGCAGTGGCTGGCTTCCCCGAGAACGAAGTTCTATACATACGGCAAATGAAAATGCTTTAGCAAAAACTGTTGCTTCTTTGGTCATCTGTAGACCACAAGGATGGCCAAAGCGGTGCACAGAACCATAGCCTTGCCTTTATACTCTTCATAACTCCAAACCTTTTTCATGCTGCCAGTAGAGTTTGAGTAATCTGGCTGTCACTACTCAGGGTGAGGTGCCCTGTGGAGGGGAAGGCGAGGGCATGGCCCTCACCTGCTGAGAACATAGTCTTACTGACCTGGTGTGATCCACTCAAAGGCTGTCCTCAGCTTTCATGAGGAAAGACGCTCAAGTGACCAGCCAAATGTTACCTAGAGGGCAACAGAGCCTCATGGGTTATAGATTTGGGAAGGTAAGCACCCAGTTTGGATTATCTGATTTTTGCCATCCTGTGGTAAAGGCAGACTTCTTGGAGTTGGCTTCACGTTTTCATCAGTCCCTTGACTCAGGTGGGGGAGCACTTTAACCTACCTCTTGGATGCCAAGGTCAGGGTATGCCCTTTAGAGCTGAGGTTGGTGCAGCCAACACCAGGGCTGTTTTTCCCTTTTCTTTACTCTCCCAGGCCAGAGTTGTGGTCGGCAAGAATGTTAGGAATCTCTTAAGAGTTTATTACAGAGTGAAGGCTCCCAGGAGGAGTTTTAAATGAGGCAGCAATGGCTGGTCTAATATCTTACATCAGTGGACTCTTTCCCTCCCCCAGAGCCATTTCCTGTGTAAAGCCAAAGCCTTCTGTGGAGGAGTCAGTGCGTTGCTGAGATTCTTACCAGGCAAAGGGAAGACTGCTTCCCAAGAGGACCATGTCTAACATGGAGTGGCTTGTCTGTCATATTCGCAGAATTCTTTTTCTTAGTACAGATTTCTGAGGGAGATTGGAAAGGAGGAAGAAGTTTTAGTCTTGGAGAGGCCGTGTGAGGTAGCACGGAGTCTCACGGAGCGGGGTTCGAGGGCCAGGGTGCCTTAGACCAACCCTGTTTCATGTCTGGACCCTGTGCAGCAGGGATAGCCATCGTGGGATTGTTAGGAGGACTGGACGTGATAATGTACGGAGAGCACTCGGGGTATGGCATAACTATTCCTGCATAGAGCTCACTTAATTTTTCTAAGATTGTTTCTTCTTCAAGAGTGAAGAAGATGCCCTGTGACTTTTAGGGTAGTTGAGAGGATCAAATGAGATAAGTATGCAATTATGCTATACCAAGATTTGATTGAGATTTAATTAGAAAAGCCCTTCACAAGGATCTTGGTAATCCGTTCCAGAGTTAGCACTAATACATTTATCCTTATGTTGAACTAGAATTTTTCCTTCTTTATTATTGTCCTTTTCAGCTCACTTGGCCTTCTAAGAACCCAAAGTTCATTTGTTTCATGAAAATCTTCGTGCACTGAAAGATATATTCCACTCACCCCTAGCCTTTAGGTTTAAAAAAAAAAAATCTTGATTATTACTGCAATTTTCTCATCTGTAGTTCTTTGTTACTTTATTCTAAACTCTAACTTTTCCATTGCTTCTGGTGGTCAAAATAAGAAATGATCTTTGAGAATTTCTTGGACTAAAATATAGGGGAAAGTTTACTTTCTATCCTCGATTCCCCATTAAAATATCTCTATCTTTTATTAGAAAAGCAACGTCTCTTTATATACATTTTGGAGAAGAGGGAAGGAAAATTGCCCACAGTTGTGTGAGTACAATTAATAGTTTTATGACTGCACATCTGGTTGTTTTTATATACATATTTTATGTGTCTTTGTAGCTTATCTATCTTTATACATATCTTACATAATCGGAATCACATACAAATAGGAATCTTACAATGTTGTTTATATTACTGCTTGTCTTTAGCACCTAACTCGTAGAATTGTAAGGATTCGGTGCTTTAAGTGCTTAGCACAGTGTCTGGCATAAAGTTAGTGTCCATAGGTGGGAGCTAGTTATTCTATGACATTTCCTGAGCGGTGCCCAGAAGTGGATTTACTGGGTCAGGTACCTTTTGGGCTCTTGATACATGGCATCTGCCACATTGCTTTCTAGAAGCCGTTTCAGTTCCTCAAGCCCTTGGCAGTAAAGAGTTTCTCCGCTCCTCGTTAGCACTTGGAGCTCCCCCCAGCACCTCCCCACTTTGTTTTTAGGTTTGGGAAGCTAATTCAGTAGGTGCAGATAATGCCTCGTTATTGAAGTGTCATTATTTCATAACTATGGATGTTGAACTTGTCTTACACTTACTAGCAATGTTTCCTCTTGTAGGGGCTGTCTATGACCTACCTAACAAGCGGAATCACTGAATGTTTTCTTATTGAATTATGTAGGCTCTTTAATAAAGATACTAATCCTTTGTCATATGGACAGCAAATGTTTTTCCTGGATGTTTTCTTCCTATTTTGGTTGCAATTTTTTTTTTTTCAATTCACACGTGCACACATGCATGCACACACGTACACACAATGTGATCCATCTCCTCTGTGCCCGACCCTCGCCAGGTCTGATGGTAGTAGCTTGAGTCCAACAAGAGAGACTCCTCCCATAGTTACACGGGCTCCTGATAGAGTGGTCACACATGTCTTTCATGGTGAAAGTACACAGACTCTTCACAGACCCAGAGAACACATTTCCCTTGATTTGGGGAAAGAGGGTAGAGAAGGAAGGAGCTAACAAAACTATTGCTTGGTTTTTATAACAGGTGATAATTTCAGCTCTTCGTGATTAGAATCTTCTACACATTCTCCATCCTTTCCTCTAGGACTGGTGTTTCTGAAGATACCATTGCAGATATTTATTTGGCAAATGTCTGCTCAACCATCATAGGCTTCAGCCGAGTCCTCTGAAGAACTCCCACTCCCACCTATCCTGATCCACCTTCTTCACGTGTTTTCTTGCAGGAGGAGGCTAGGTCTTAGTGAGATTTGGGAACTGAGGGCGTGGGGCTCTTCACATGGATGAAATGCTGGTGAATCTCCCTTTTCCTACTACCCTGTTTAAATTTAAACTTCTTTCCCTGAAAGAGAGTGAGCAATCCTACCTGGCACCCAGGGAAGCCTTGTGTGGATATCCTTAGTAGAGCAAAATCGGTCTGTATGTTCCCTTGCTAAGGAGTCCTGTCCTTTCTCATCACCAAGGTCTGCACTACAGTCTCTAATAGAGCCCGGACGGCTGATGGGTGAAAGAAGGAGCAGGCCTCCGTGGGGTTTCTCATCGCTGTGGCCAGGATGGTGGCACACAAAGGCATTCCATTGGCTTCTGAGTCTAGATCTATAAATATATTTATTATAATATAACAAGAACTTAACAATAAACATATACTATGTACAATACCATTACAGAGAACCCTGTTTTATATCATTCACAGAAATAGCCAGTTTTGCTCCAGTGTGAGAAGTGAGGAGAGAAACGGAATTTCAATGTCATCTGTGTCGAGTCTTGCTGACCCCTAACACCTCCTTTGGAGGCAGACACACACCAACGCTAACATTAGCCTTGCCCCAGGCAGTTAGAAATTTGTGCTCCAGTCCTTGGGTTCACACTTGCACCCTGTTTGACATAAATACTTTAAATGACATACAATGTATGTAGTTTTGTGCTTATTACTTTTTTAAAAGAATAAATAATATTAAAAACTGCATAACGAAGCTCGGTATCTTGTCCGAGTGGGAGCCACACTTGTAGTGCTAGAAGTCGATGCCCGACGTTGGAATTGGAATTTTGTGTCCTCAAATACCGAAAGGTGGAAAGCATGTCCTGTCCTTTTCTCCTTAGAAATGGTTTTTATCATGAAATGACGGCAAGTTGACTTCCTGGATAGAAAAATGGTAAATGCGTATTTGGTACCAACTTCAACTAAACGGCGCAGAGACGGCGGCTCTCTTCTTGCCCTGGGATGGAAACTGATCGCCGCGTGAGGTTTGAGGGTCTGAGGACTGGCAGGAAGGCCTTTCTGTCATGAGCCACGGTGTGACCTCCCTCCTGGCTTCCCTTTCCTCTGGTTCGTCTGCTACAGGAAGAGTGATTCTGCTCATGCCCCTCAGGCCTTGGCTGTCATGGCTCGTCTACAAAGGCTGTCCCCATCCTGAGAGCTCTTGTAGCAGGTGCCTTAATATATAGCTATAAATATCAAAAATAGTCTCCTGTGCTTTGTAGACATTTATTCTCCCTCCCTCCCTCCTTCCCTTCCCACCCGGCCTGGGTCCTCAGCTTTACCTCATGGAGGGAGCCGGACTGGTGTCACGAGCCGGGACTGGTTTCCTTCTAGAACAGAATCTTCTTTGACAACGCCTCCAGGAGGCACAGCTCTTGATGGGGCTGTCTGGGAGTTACATTTTTTAAAAAATAAAACGGGGGCCCTCACCCCCACCCAGGAGAGATCCTCTATTCTGCACATAGAAAAAATTAGAGCGAATGCCCCACTCCGGCACAACCTACAAAGAGCTTTGGGAATTCCCACATGGTCCTCTCATGGCCTCCTTCTCTCAGTACTTAAAAATAGCCTTTTTGTTTATCAAGAAAATGCCTTGGAAATCTAAATAATTCATATCGGACAAGAGAAAGCTAGCACAGTCACCTGTCCTTCTCCAGCAAAAACACGGTAGAAAAACCTGTGAGGGACAAAGGTTCTCCCAGCCATCCCCGGGCTGCCCCTGCACGGCTGCTCCAGCCACATTGGGCTCGGCACCGGTGGCCGGACCTCCCTTCTGCCCGGCGGGGACCAGGAGCCTCCTAGGCCTTGTGCCACACACAGTATTGTCCCTTCTCTTCTCTCGGCCACGGACAAGTGTAGATCGGTTAAAAACAAAAGTAGGAATCAAAGTGATAAGGACACTTTGATCTTACTCCAAAGAGAGCCTGACACCTAATATTGTCATAGGATAACTGATCTATGGTTGTTTAGGGATCAAGCTTGCTCTGCAGGAAGGAAAAATCAGCTTCTCTCTCCCAGTTGAAAAATATGTGAAACTCTATTGCACCGGGCAGAGCGAGCGCCTCCGTTCAGAGCAAGTGCCTTTGAAGGAGCCCCCAGGCCCAGCTGCTTGCATGGTTGTGGTTCCTGCTGCACGGAGCACTATGCCCCCGTTTCCCCCAAAGGCGAGGATGATTTTCTACATTCAATGTAGAGAGTATTCAAAATGTTTAGCGCAGTGATTCCCTTGATTGTGTCTATCAACCTCTTGCGGGTGTTGCTGAACATTGATCACTGTGAGTAGCATACATGCCTCACCAGACTTGTCCAGTCTCGTTGTGGGCTTTCTGCAGACGTCAGCCGCTTTGAATATATTTCTTTATCACGACGCAGCCGTGTCTGAACACGGGGCAGGGCATGTGGGGTAGTAGGGTCCACGTGTTGGTCGCGGGCTCGTAGGCTTCCATGTTGCCCAGGGCAGGCCCCTCACTGCTGACAATGCCCCCAGTGGCATAAATCTTGCCGTCAAGCACCACGGCGCTGTCAGGGAGAGCGGGGAGAGAGTTAGCCATTTCACTTCCACCTCGGACCTGGAGGTGGACTCAGTACCCCAGCCCGGGGCAGGCTGCCTCTCCCCCTTTGCCAAAGGTCTGAGGGATCTCACTGCTTGCCTCTGTCCTGTGATCCGAGCCGTGTGTGTGTCCGCCCCATCAGCTTTGAGACTCCAAGGCACAGGAAAGGAAAACCTTTCCTCTAGGGTTGGTCGGGGTGCCCTGCGTCTACCACCCTCCGAGCCGTGGGGGACATGCCGGGACCTGCCGGACCACCGAAAGGTGGCGGGGAGAACAGCCTTGTGTACGGGACCCTCGAATCTGTTCACTGAGCATTGTTTTGTGTTGCCCAGAGGCTTCGTATGGCTCCAATCAAGTAGAGAGCACGACTCACAGGGCTGATGGCAGACAGGATAATAAGGAGCCAAGTCATAACCCAACACTGACTACCTGACCGTGAAATTCACCCTGGCCCAGGTGCTCAGACTCCCGGCTCCCTGCCCTGATTGCCGAGCACCAGGGTCCTGCTTCTGCCCACCGGTGACGGCCTGGCGTCCCCACCCGCGGCAGCCCGGGACGCCTTCCTGTTGCCTGCCACCCTGTCGTCTCAGCGAGCTGTTCCCACGGCCAGAGCACCACCGCCTGCCCCTGTCTGCACGTCCTGTCTTCCCGCAGCTCAGCTCCCCCGTCCCACGTGCACCTACATCCACGCATCCGGCCCCTGTTTCTGCCGCATGTCAGCTAACGGCCCCGTCTTCTTGACTGTCCCCTGACGCTGAACAGGTGCCCTTGCAAAGTCACCTCTTTCTGAAATTCTGAGCCTGGAATGGAACGTGCCGGTCCAGACATCTTACCTGAGGTTTCCAGCCTTAGCCCCTGGAGTTGCCTGCCCCCTAGGGCCCTCCGATTTCTCCCTTGGTGGCACATCTTTCCCCTGCTTCTCTTGCAAGGCCCAGCTTACATCTCCTCACGGGCACGAGGTCTTTCTGGGCCCACTCTGAGTCTCCGATGAGGCGCGCAAGTCCTCCCCACAAGTGGTGCTCAACCTCCAGGTGTGCTTATTGTGGACAGTGTAGTCAGAACGGCTTGCACACCGCCACCATTGGAGTATGTGACGGGAAGGTAAGGCCCAGGAACCGCAGGCTCTTCGCGCTAATAGGACTCTGCGGTTATCTAGTCCAACCGCCTGCTTCATCAATAGGACAACTGCCCCAGAGAGCGCAAGTTGCTCGTCCAAGGTCCTAAGATAGGTTAGTAGTAGGTTACAGCTTTTCTAGCTCTGCTACACCAACTGCGGGTGCTGGGACTGGGGATCCCGTGATTACCTCCGCATGGGCGCAAGGTGTCTTCAAGAAAGATCTGCTATGTGAATGTTGAAAATGGGGTTTCTGGGACCCCTTTTTATATTTCCTTGTTCCTCTTGGTCTGGGAGGGGATGGGGCTAGAAGAGCAGGGTCTGCGTCTCACTGCCCAAGGTGGTTAACTTTTCTGGGCCATGGGGCCGGGCAGACTGGGAACCAAGCCACACCCTGACCTCTACCTCTCTCTTCCTGAGAGGGCTGGTCCGTGTGTGTGTCCACCCCATCAGCTTTGAGACTCCAAGGCAGCCGTGCCTCGCACCGCTCCCCGGATCCCGTGGTCAGAGCATCCCTTGGAAAGCCACCTGTCCCGTGTAGGGCAGCTGTCCTCACAGCAGCACCTTCACCTATCCCCGGACGTGTGGCCTCGAACGACCTGGGGCTGGTGCCTGTACGAAGCCCTCCATTTCTGGCTTGGAGATGGGTCAGCTGGAGCCCCCCGGGGGGGCTTGCGGGCCTCGGGCTGCCCCCGGGCTCTTCCCATTCTGCCCTGGCCCTCATAGCCACACCTGCGGCCGGAGGGCGCTGCTCTGGTCATCCAACGGCGGGCGGTCATTGTCGTGCTCACACCTGTCCTCCCGCCTTTCCCTTCCTGCCCGCCTCCTTCCCACCCCTAGCCGAGTTCCTGGGGCCCTCACCTGCAGAACTGGCGAGAGTGATTCATGTTTGGGCCCGCCTTAATGTTCCCTTTCTCGGGGTCGTAGATGGTGGTGGCTCTGGCATAGGCCCCGCCCAGGATGAAAACGAAGCCATTGAGGGTGACGGCGGGAGCGTACTTGTTGTCTGTGAGGAGAGCAGGGCAGGCAGGTCAGGGCATCTCTTCCTGGCCTCCCCCCTCCCCACCCTTGGCTTTGCCGGGAGGCGCTCCAGAGGACGGGCTCCGGCAGGACCGCCAATGTCGGTGGCTAACCCGAGGACGAGGCCCGGGGCCAGGAGGCACCTGGTGCGCCGTCCAGCTTGCCCTTTGTCCCGGTAGTGGGGTGTGCAGTTCTGCCCGGCCTGGGGGCTTGCGTCCCCCTCCCAGCCCCGGAACGTGGGCCTGCAGAACTACTGGGCTTAGCCGGCCCTCTGGGCTTGGGCTGTAGAGACAAAGCTAACACTGAGGAGGGGATGCTGCATGGGCCCCAGGCTGAGCAGAGAGCTGACTCTCACCAATCATGGGCGACTCGATAAAGCTCCACGTGTTGGTCTGTGGAACGTAAGACTGTAGGACCCCTGCAGCCCTGCCGGCCTCGTTCACGCCGCCAAACACGTAGATCTTGCCGCCGCACACCGTAGCTGCCGCAGAGTGCACTGCCTTCGGCAGAGGGGCCACGGCCTCCCACTGGTTGGTAATGGTGTCGTATCTGTCGAGGAGGAGAGAAAGAGCCCAGCATCAGTGGTGGGCTGTGTGCAGGGCAGGGCTGACAACCAAGGCGGCGGACACTGGGGGGCACCGGCATCTGCTTCCTGCCCTTGGAATCACTGGCATAGCCCAAGATCACACACAGCTGGGGGCACTCGGGTTGAGTCACTCAAGGCCCCCTAGATCTGGCCCAACCTGGCCCTCTCAGCTTTCCTCCTGAGGCTCCGTGGGCTCTTTTTTTGCCCGTCGCAACCCCTATGCAGATTCTCGTCTCCATTCCTTTGCTCACATAGGGCTCCCCAGCTTCTAGGCCCCTTCATCCCTCTCTATCCAGCTCATTCCTACCCCTTTGCCCAACAGTGCTGCACTGAGCATCTCCTGTACACCCAGGCTCTGGACTGGAAACTGGGGAAACAGCAGGCTGGACCAGGGAAGGACAAGAGGGAGTGGGACCAGAAGGAGAGGGGAACTGATGGGGTTCAATCGTTAATTGATGTTGCCATTCAGGAAGGCAGAGTTACCTAGGATGACTCAGGGTCTCGGGCGTGGGGCATCGGAAGGAGGGGGCACTACTCAGGGGACAGGAATTGAGGTTGGGGAGTTTGGAGGAGAGAGATGATTTCAGTTTTATTCATGGGGAGTTTTTTTTTTTTTTTAAAGATTTTATTTATTTATTTGAGAGAGACAATGAGAGAGAGAGAGCATGAGAGAGGGGGGAGGGTCAGAGGGAGAAGCAGACTCCCCGCCGAGCAGGGAGCCCGATGCGGGACTCGATCCCGGGACTCCAGGACCATGACCTGAGCCGAAGGCAGTCGCCCAACCAACTGAGCCACCCAGGCGCCCTATTCATGGGGAGTTTAAAGGACCTGTGGGCAACCAACTGGGGATGTGTGGGGTGCAGCTGACGTGCAGCCTATACGTTCAGCTTTGGGATCACTGGCCCAGCGACGGAAACTGAAGGTAAGGGAGTTCCCAGGCGGTGGGGGGGTGAGAATAAGGCTGAGGACGCTCTGGGGAAATGCTGCCTTTAAGAGGGAGCTGAGGGGGTCCTTGGAGGAGTGGCGGCACTACAGAGGGCACAGCGCCATGGGTGGGAGATGCGGTGAGAAGTCAAGAAGTCCCAAACAGGTTCCCGGCGGTCTTGTCAAGGGCACTTTAAGTGGAATGGAAGGTGCAGAGCTATTTGTGTATCAAGGAGTGAATGGGAAGGAAGGCGGTGGGCATGACAGGTAGAGACTTGACTTGGACGAAACTCCGCTGGGAAAAGGGGCAGAGAAGGTAGAATCTCGAAAGGCATTTGGAGCTCAGAGATGGCTTGCACTGGGGGCATGCTGATAAATGTTTACAAACAAGCTCTCCAGGGGCAAAGCCCTGCTATGTAGCACTTGCTGATTTCTGTGATGTGAATCCTCTCGGCCGATTTCAAGCTACCAATGGCACATGGCGGAACATGGCACTCGGAAGAGATGCGCGGCGGCATCCCGCTAGACAGAATCCCCGCCACATACAGACACAGCAGACACATCGAACCTCCAGAGCACAGACGGTACAGAATATAGTAAAAAAAAAAAAAAAGGAAAGAAAAAAAAAAGTAGTGGTGAGTTTTGAGTATGGATTACCTTTGTTTTTAATACAATTTATTTAGTTCTAAGTTTACACGGTTTAATTTTTAATAATACCTGTAAATGACAACTGGCTTGCAGAGTTCCTAAAAAAGGTAATAGTCAGCTCTCAGGAGCCAGTATGAACGAGCTCCAGCGCACCGTGGGTTTTGTTTTAATTTTAGGGGGAAAGGTTTACTTGTGTTTACGGGCTGATAGGAAGGAGCCCAAATGGGTAAGGAAAGGTTAAATATAGATGAAAGAGAGGGGAGAGCTGATAAAGGGAGGCTCCTTGTGGGGGGATGCAGGTTGGATCCAGAGTGGAGAGGGAAGTGGTGTCCATGCGGGCATGAGAGAGGGAGGCAAGGATGGCCTGAGAGTCAGTCCATACCCAGCGGCGATGGCAGGGAGAGGAGAGAGTTCTTGACTGATGGCGCCACCTGCTCTATGAAGCAGGAGCCCACGCTGGCGGGATATGGGCATCCGTGGGATAAGAGCCTTGATGGGGGAGGAGATGAGAAACACATGCTCTTGAGAGCGGGCAAAACTGCGGACAAGGGCCCTGCAGCATGAAGGACACAGTACACGTCGGAGGACTTCAGTCTGTAGTGGGGCCAATCTACGAGGTGCTGGGATCTTCTCCACCAGCGTTCAGCCCCCAGAGGAGGCACGGAGAAGGCGCAGAGTTACAGGATTGAAGAGATCTGTGGCGTACGTATGGTAGGACAAAGTAAGAGCATGGAGAAATGATGGAATGTGAATACCAGACAAAGCGGGGAAAAAAGTGACAACAGAAAGCAGCTGAGAGGGACAGACTTGGGATCTAGCAGACTGGTCAAGGAACTGGGAGATCTGATGTCTTTCTGGGCAGCTTCTGGGTCTCCGTTCTCAGTGTCTCTGTCAATTGCTCCCGGGGGCTGCTCTTATAAGCACTCACTCTGGACCTCTTACTTGGTGGCCCATCTCCCGCTCGGCGCATGGCTCTGTCGCCTGTTCTGGACCCAAGGCGGGGCCTCCACTGTGGGCTGGGTTTTTGCCAGCACACCTTTCCTGGGAAGCACGCAGGGCCCACTCTTCCCCATGAGGCTCCTTGGGGCTCGAGCCATAACAAGGTCACGGCTTAGTGATCCAGAAGATGGCCTCTCTTAGCCGGTGCCCCTGGCTCTGAGACAGGGATGAGGGGGCAGCGGCGAGATGTCCAGCTCTGTGCTTGCGAAGACTCAGGATTTGAGAAGAGGCTGACGGACCTTAGAGGGCAGCAGGGGCTGATTCAATTAAGCCCCGGACGAAGGCTATGTGGCTAACAGGCAATGGAGTAAGTGTCTTTTTGGACAGTGTCAGAAGTTCAGATGGCTGTTTTTTAAGCCAGTATGGCAGAGATCCAAAGAGCTCCTGTAGAAGGAGCTGGGTGACAGCGGAAGATTATGTGGCTGTTAGTCTTCAGACTTGCGGTATAATGGCACATTCCGCCAAATGCGAATTTCCCGAGAGCTTGTTATTCCAGGTGGCTGATTGCCAAGCCACAAGCCCTCGTCAGCTCAATCTGTCAGCTTCCTGCTTGAGAAGGATATGCTAATGACATGCAAATGACCCTGTGGAGTGAGGCACTCTGCTATCATTTATCCGGTAACCACAGCTAGTGCAATATATTGCTATGAAGTATTAGACCCAGTTATTTATATAATGATATAATACAGGTTTGTCTACTGCACTGTTGTTTTAATCTATAATTATATAATCTTGTTCTATTCCTGTAATACAGTAATGTAATATAATTATAATGTACCATATATCTCATTCATTATCAATATAAGAGCAATTTGTACCATTAGTGCTTCCTGGGGAACAAAGCGCCCTCGCGTCTGTCCCCATTACCCTGACCTCCTTGTCACCCTGAATTCTCATCATTGCCACCATGCGGTGCAGAAATTACTTGTGCAAAGGGGCTGCAGTTATGTTCCTCGGGAAGCGGTGGGCGTCCCCTCTGCCTGCATCCTCCACCCCACCTGTGTGCACGCCACCCGGAGGTCTTCAGGTCTGCGTCCTGTCCCTGCAAGGACAGCCGCCAGATACCAGAGGGCTGAGGAGGGGCTCAGGGCACCTTGTTGTCCTGGATGGGTCCCCCATCTACTGAGGTTCCCGGGCTGGTCTTGCTCACATGGTGCCCTAGCTGATATTTCTTAGTGGAACAAAGGCCCAGCCCCCGGGGGAGGCCAGTAGAGGCTGCTACCAGGCCTTGGAGGAGTGCTCCTGAGCCCAAGGGGAGCGGAGCTTCTCCCCCCGCTTGGTGCATTTGATCCTCGAACAAATTCCTGTATTTTATCAACAAGTATAAGTTTGCAAAATGAGTAATCAGCATCTTAGGAGATTAAAAATAGCTGACAAAAGCAAGACAGGATGACAGATCTAGCTCAGTTTACTCCTACATAGAAAACCTCTCCTTTTTCATGTGTTTATTATTGGATGACAAACGGCTGGAAGCTGGTGCTTCTGGAAGCCCTGGGACGTGAGGGCCGTGCAGCGGGCCCCACTGAAGGCTGTCAGCATCAGGGCTGACCCAGGTTCAGCTGCAGTGTTAATATCCTCATAATCACACAGGGATTCCCCATTAACTCCAAATCAATATGACAATTAAATGTCGTTACTGAGCCATCTCTGGGCTCCACTTGGGGGAGTTAAAAGCCCACAGTGAACATCCAGAGCTTGTCTCACTCTGAAACTATCTTTGCCATAACATTTGTCAAGTGTCCAATTAGCCACTGAGGGAAAAATACAAATTGAGGGGTACGTGTGGGTCCACAGGCAAAATGCTGTCGCATGGGAAGATGTGATTTCCGTGACAGCTGATGACGTGGGCCAAGGGTGGTGGGCAAGCAGGAGGTGAGGACGTGGAGAAAGGGCCTCTGGTGATCTTGGCTGCGCCCTCCTGGGTTGGGACTTGGGGCCAGCTCAGCCTAACTTGCCCTCCCTTGCGGGAACTAGTTTCTCCAAAAGCGGGACTGCTCTGAGGCCTCCCCTGCTTGCTGCTGACTCATGAGCCTTCCTGAGTTCTTCCCGTGGCTTCTCCCCCAGGTGTCTGTTCTCGGCAAGAATGGTCTCCAGCTCAAAGGAAAGATGGAGCATTTGCACCCCATGAAGTGCCCACCTCAGCCTGTGCTCCCCCTGCCTACACCCGATCCCTACACTCTGTGTGGCCAGTTGTCAGTGGGCCTCAGCGAGGAAGCCAGCCTGGGACTTCCAGCAGAGGGCAGGCTCACAAAAGCGCCGTTCTCCGGCCCATTGCTTTGTATCGGCTTCTGGAGAATTCCAGATGATTGGCCAGACCTGCTTGCCGTGACCGTTCCCCGTGTTGCAAGCAGCTTTCCTGGGATGGGTGGGAAAGAGGGAGCAAGGGGCTCCCCGGTGTGGGACCTCCAAGCTCGGCAGGGACACAGAGGCACGGCGACGGACGAGGCACCCATGTGGGCCATCCGTTGCAGCCTTGCCCTACACCCCCCGCGAGTCTCTGGGCTGGTACTTCCAGTCCCGGAGTGCCTCTAGGTGCCTGGGCAGGCCGGCCAAGCCCACAGTGCGTCTCTTGCCTTCAGCTTGTCTGACCCCTGCAAGGGACAAGAGTGCCCCATCTCAGGGGTGGGGCGGCTCTCGTCCTTCCTGTTGCCCTCCCCCCACCCTCAGTCCTCCCTCTTTGCTGTGTTTGAAGAGCCTGCGACTATCGCCTTATAAATGTCCCGTCTCCGCTTGGCCTCAGCTGGCTCGGGGCTGGGTGGGAGGAGCAACATGATTTTAGCTTTCTTGACCGTGGCTTCATTACCTCTCCACGTGGTCCACGTTGCCCGCCACGCCAAGTCCCCCGAGGGTGTAAATCTTGCCGTCATAGACGAGGCTGTTGTGCCGACAGCGGGGGACCGTCATTCTGGAGACAAGGTTCCAATTATCGAGCAGGGACATGTAGCACCAGACATCGGCCAGCGTCACCCCCGATTCCATGCCACCTGGAGGCGGTGTGGGAGGTCCAGAGAGCAGGCGGGGAGTGAGGAGGGGCCCCAGGCCGGGCCGGCCCAGCCCCGGGGGCAGAAGGAGAAGGTTTCACCCGCCAAGTGGACCCTTCCGGGCCTTGGTTTTCCTCAGCCCTGGCGTGGGGAGAGGGGCCCCGGGGAAGTCTGTGCCTGGCGCCCAGCCCAGCCCCGAGGGGCCTCACCTGAGAGGTAGATGTTGTCCCCGGCACTCACTACGCTGAAGAACTCTCGGTCGTAGAAAGGCAGCGAGGCCAGTGGGTACCACTTGTTGTTCTGCGGGTTCCAGCAGGTGACGGCCACCAGGGAGCGCTGGGTCATCCCCACCATCTGACGGCCCCCAACCAGGACGATGACCTCCGCCACACCTGCAGGGACACAGACGCCCCGCCTTCGGACACATCCCAACACTGTTGGCCTCTGCACCCGGCGCCTCCCGTGGAGGAGCAGGGTGGGGACCGCCCAGAGTCGGGCTGACCCCCCGGCACCTGCATTTGGGGAGCTCGGGGCCTGTCCCTCAATACCTGCCGAGAGGCGGGGCCGGGTTCGGGGCGTCTGCATCTCCTGGCGGGCGTGTGGCAGCATGTGGTAGCGTTTGGCTTCGTTGACCAGGTCCCGACACGCTTCTGACGACTTGATCAGTTCCTCATTGTCCACCACGTTGAGCAGATAGCTGGGGTGGATGAAGGGGAGGCGGACCACGGCCAGGAGCTCCGCTGCGTACTGCGGGGTCAGGGAGACACAGGGTGGATGAGATTATGCAGATGGAGCCCCCTCTGGCGAGTCGGACTGGGCAGACAGGAAGGACCGGGGTGGTAGTGCACGACCCAGGTGACTCCAGTCCGCGTCTGGCTTGAGAGTGTAGACACTGCTTATCCCAGTCTAGACAGTGATGGGGGGGCTCCCATCAGCCAGAGGAGAGCAATGGGGGAGGTCGGGTGTGCTGCAGCTGACCCTGGGGCGAACCATCCGTCCGCTTCTTCGGCACCTCATTCCTGCCTCCCTCCAGGTCCCCGGCCTTGGCTTCACCCCAGGCTTCACCCTCACTGAAATGAGGATCCTGAGCCCTGAAGACGTGTACATGGGGCAGGGAGTCAGGAAGAGGTGGGAGGGCCCAGGAAGGCTGAGAGTGACCATGAGGCCTGCAAGTCACACCGGTCAGAGCCTGAGTCTCTCCAATGCCTACAAACCCCTTAAGGGGCATCCCACAGCCTCAGATTGGCACCCGGACCCTCTCACCTGCACTGAAGGCTTTGCACGAACTGACTCGAATCCCCTCCTGCCTGGCAAACTCTTTGCTCACCACTTGGCTTTAGTTTCATGCAACAAACGATTGGTGACACCCCTTACTGCGAGAGTGTCAGTAAGACCAGTAAGCCCCAGTCTCTGAGCTTCGGGTGTGCGCCGTGCACTGGCAGGTTGGGGGAGGATCCATTCGTAGAGGCGCTAGTGGGGCCCCGAGGAGGAGTCTGGTTAGGAGTTGTGGGGGTGCAGGGTAGGAGGCTTCCCAGAGCGGACACTGGCTGAGCTGGGTGAGGAAGGGCTGCAGGTTTCTCCAGGCCTCAGGTGGAGAGGAGGTAGGACGCCCGAAGCACACGCAGAGACATGGGAGCGTGAAGGAGAAAGGTGCATCTGGGGAATTCTATGGAGCTGATTCTTGTTGGCGGGGGGTG